CAGCCGCTCTCCGGCCGGCCACGAGCGAGGCGGTGTGCTGCTCCCCACGTCACCCGCACCCAAACCTCCCCGCTCTGAGTCCCAGTCCCAGATGTCTTCCCCTGGTGCTGTGCAAACTGAACAAGATGGATGGCTCCTCCTAGATGGGGGCATCCCTCTGCAGCCCCCTTCTTCCCCCAGGGAAGCACCTCCGACCCTCAGCACCGTGCTGCGACAGCTGCTCTGCTGGTTCAGAGCTGCGATATAATGGCAAAGCTTAGCGTGTCTTTAGAGACTGTTCTGAAAAAGAAAAAAACATCAGTGGCTTATAAAACTTAATTCACAAGCATTTGTCCCCTATCTTCACTCCTTCCTTCCAAAGCTGATTTTTCCTTAAGGAAAAAGGAAGCAAAGGCAATAATTGGTGCAGAGAGCACAGGAGCAGGGAGCCCCGTGGGACTCCCGTGCTGGCAGCGGGGCCGCCTGCGCCGCCGAGCAAAACGCACCGCTCGCTTCACAGCAGCATAAGCTGCTTAAAAATTACTGGCATAAACCAGGCTCAAATTTGGCTGCCAAGAAGCAGAGAGAGGTGTTTCCCTAGGCCTTGTGCTCAGCGTTTTCCTCGCCAGCCCGAGCATTTGCCCCACAGGTATCAGCCAGATGCACGATCTGTGTTATCGATGTGCTGCACCGGCCGCAGGAGCCGAAATGTTTATGCAAGTACAGTAGCTTATTTCATAAGTCATGTGTCTGCACAGCTGACATCTGAAGAGAGCCTTAAGCCTCTAAGTCAAGTGTTAATAGCTAAATCCATTAGTGCTTCAGAAAATTAAAAATGGCTGTAAAGCAAATAATGAGGTAAGGGCAGGCCTGGAGCTGGGCACCAAACCGATGGCAAATTTATCAATAGCATCACTTTGCAGAAGCAGCCCGGGCCGTTCGGAGAAGGCAGCTTTGTTTTTCCCAGGATGAGACAAGAGCAAAGGAAGGGGTCTGTTTTGCTGTCTTCTTCTCTCCTCCTCAATCCCCAGCACCAGCAGGTAAATGCCTGTAAACACCTGCTGACCCTGCAGCCAGCTCCCTTACACTAACCCTCCTTGCCAGCTACCAGGCTGACCCACAACCTCAGCACCAGAGCAGGACTTCTGGGTGGCAGGAGGCTACGGTAACGACCGGCACGCTCTCTCCTCCCTTCTCTGATCAGCACAGCAGTGTGTAGCCAGTCCCCCACGCCCTGGTGATCTGAAGTTACTCCAATCATCAGAGGAGTGCACATCAGCTACAGTTGAGAACCTCTAAAAGTCTGTTGTTTTTTTTTTTTAAATTAAAAATTCTTCTTAAAAAACAACAAAAAAGGACTGCAATGAGTTAAACCAGCACAGGATTTTAGAAACACCAACCCACTGAAGTCAGCAGCCTTCTTCCCTCCAGCAGAATTTGCTAAGAGGGCAGGAATCAAGGCAAGTCTCAGGTTCACCAAAGGACTCAGGCTCCTGACTTCCCCGTGACTCCAGTGGGAAAGCAGACGCCTAAAGAGATAACAGTGGCCTAAATGGGTTTGCTGAACCTGTGCCAAAGCATCTTTGCATCCAGCCTTCAAGTAGGTAAATAACGTCTTTATTTCTTTTTTTTTTTTTTTCTTACTAGACACATACTGCATTGCTTTGAAAAGCAAGTAGCTCTTGGATGGTACAGAATGCTTTTCTCGACGGCAGCAAGACACCACGGGGGCACGAGGACCGGCCCGGGCTGGGGGCACCGGCTGGAACGCGCCTCTGAATCCACTCACTCCAAAAGAAAAAATAATTAAAAAAAATCCGCAGAATTGCCAAAGTCTGCTGCCCCAGGAAATTCATTTATATGAAATTAAACTGGATTTAATTTACCTCGTTACACTATTAAAGAGTAATATTTATATCACCATGGAAACCCCTGCATAAAACTGGTAGACACACACATGCTTCCAGTGCTGGTTACGCAACGGCCGTGCCATGGGAATGATCCTGTCTTGCAGCGGCTCAGGAGAGCCCAAATCCCCCCGTGTCCCGTGGGACATTATTTTCCTCCTCAGCCCGACAAGGGTTCCTCATCCCATCCCAGCTCAGCACTGCCAAGCTCCCCTCCAAGCAGGAAAAAGCTGGCACGGGGGATTTGCCTTATGTTTCCAGGTTTTTTTTCCCTATGCGTGACTCGGGATCCGTGCCCCTCCCCACCGCTCTGGAACTGTTTAACTTGGAAGGACAAAGGAGAATGGGCAAAGTCCACTGAATGTATCTTGAGAGGAATGTTTTGGGGGAAGTTTTGGGAAGGGGAGGTGGTGTTATCAGGGGGTGGCGACGCAGAGAAACAGCTCAGGGTGAGAATAGGGAGGAGAGGCAGAGCTGGGGGAGCGGGGGAACCACCGCGGCTGCGCGGAGTTGCCGAACTCGTCTCGGGCCCCTGGGCAGGATCGGCAGCTCCCAGCAGTCACGAGCTCCCTCTGCTCCTTCTCTTGGCACTGCTTATCCCATCCACCTCTCGCCGCAGGGCCACGTGCTCGGCTCTTCCCTGCCTCCCGTCCCTACCCAACACATCCTCTGCCCTCCCTCCCAACTGCCCAGAAGCGAGGTTCTAAAAAAAATTAAAAAACTTTAAAATATACTGTGCCTTCGTCCTGCAACGCCACCTAATCCATGGCATTCAGGGAGTTAAGTGCAATCATAGAAAAATGAGCGAGCCCTCGCGATCCTTCACTGTTCGGTACAATGCATGCTGATGTCAAAACTTTCTTTTTACATCAGAGCACTGCCTTCTACAACGGCTTTAAAAAGTAGCTCTAAACTGGTTGTAAAAGGAAGCAACCTGCCACTCCCATCTGAGAAGAGATGAATCACTTGAAACAGATGGATTTCATCTTAATTCCCTCCCCATGACTTAAACGATGGAAAGAAAATACAGTTGAATGCCAGGGATGCGCTTATCTGCGTTGCTTCATTTATTAACTGTTGAACAGAGATGCTCTGCAGGTACTGATGGCAAGAGATTGCAGTACTGCATTTTATTGTGTGAAAAAGATAGTCCTCCTTTTTAGTAGCTGGTTATCTGAAACGCCTTTAAAGCAGACTTCAGAGCAGGGGAAAGGTCTCGCTTTGCTCACACATCAGGAAAACACACACTAGAGGAGGATTTCCCTAACATGGCTTTGCAATTCTTTTCCTCCTCTCAACGGGCCACTGAAGGTAATTCAAGAGGTTGCTGGGAGCTTCATTACTACCTAAAGCACAGAAGACTTTGATCATCTATGTCCTGTTCACACTGGGCCCTGGTGGATATCCACACTTGGCAAAATCTAAAACCAGATTACAATGGCTTGCTAGCCAACACCTTTATTGTACTTACTTTTGCAGAACACTTGAGCCATTGCAAGTAACTTATCCTGCACTAAGAAGATCCTTCTAAAACAGACACAAAACTTAGAAGACAAACTGCTCACCTGAATTCATTAAGGGCATCGACAATTCTGTTATATGCCAAACTCCGCTGACTGGCATCAGCTGATCTACGACTCATTTTCATAGCCTTGAAAACAACCATTAAACAGATAAGTAACACACAGCTACAGAAACACAGAAAATGGAAAACAAAGTCATGTGTTTGACTTTATCACTCATGCAACTAGTCATGCAAATAACTTTTTTTTAAAGTGATAAAACGATGGTACAAGTGCCAGCTTTCATATCTGAGGAAAGATAGGTGAGGCACATGCAGTTGCAGCTTCTTCTGTGCTTTTCATCATTCAAGGCATAAAAGGGGTCAAAGTTTTCACTGCAGTGGTAAAGTAACCTCGAAGTATTTCCTAGAAGGGAGATCTGAAGCATATCTAACTGCATATTTGAAACTTTGATCTTTGAAAATTTCCTACACATCGGCATCAGCAGGTTAAAAAAAAAAAAAGAGAAAAAAAAAAGCTCGATATTTATTTACAGCTTGGAATAGCCTAGGTTCTGACCCTGCGATCCACTAGACTCAGATACAGCTGATGCAAGGAGGGAGAGGTGGCATTAAAAGCATCTTTCTTCCTTGGCTGATCCAGGGTTTGCTGGGAGCTTCCTCAGCCTACTGACTGTCCCAGCTTTCAGCAATCCCCGCAGTGTAACACAGCATGCTCTGTCCTCCCCCTGCGCTGTGCTTTTGCTAGCAATAAGAAACATCATCAAACTTGCTGCAGAGCAAAGCTCTTCTCTGGTGCAATTCCAATACCCAACAGCAAGTTGATCCCACTTTTGTAAACTAGTAACAGGAGTTAGGAATTAAATCTGACAGGGCTGGGGGGAACGTACAGCAATACAAGTGCAAGAATCAAAAGAGACTGTGTTTACCTGCTCTATTGCACTCTTCAGTTTGTTCATGTGACTCTCAAAAAGAGGAAAGTGTGAGAAGAAGAACTCATTAAATTTGTTGTTTTCATCTTCATCTCTTGAGAGTGAAAAAATAACTCCAATTGCTATCTTTTTCTTCCTAACGATTCCTGGGCTCGGACCAGAGCTGTCATCTGACAAGTTAAAGCTTTCATCCATGGACCTTGAAGCATGAAAAAAATGAGAAAGTTAACGTAATCCACTGTTTAAAGTTGTACCTTGGTTTCCTGTGTAATTCAATTCTTGAACATTTAACTTCAATAAACACCTTTTGTTTGCACGTGTTGTCAAATCGTCACCTTTGATAACATTGACTTTGCCATTTTTTACAAGCAACCATTAATTGATCCTGCAATCACAGAAGCTGGAACCAGATTCAAAGCGTTTGCGGGATCAGAATATGTTATTCTCGTTCCCTCCCATGTCTGCCAAGAATTTGTGTTTTGAGTAGGATTTTAGGGCTGCTTCTCCTCAGAAGTACAACCTACAGGTTTACATTTTGCTGAACACTGCAAACAACAAATGCCATGAAGAAAAGAGATACTAAAAAAGATCAGGCGTTACTGACTTACACCTCTGTAAATACCCCACAGAAAGCAACAGCAAGAGCAGATGCACGTATGCAAGAGCAGAACCAAGCTGACAACGGTGGAAAATTTACGGGCAGCAACCAGCATTTTCATCCCCAGCTCACCATCGAGGGAAGACCCCATTCTCCAAGCTGGTAGTCTGGCTGCGACGCCAACGCCGCTGGTAACTGCTAGCACAGCTTTTGTTAAACGAAGAGCCCGGAGATGGAAACGGAGTGATGAGCAGACTGCTAAGAGATGCTGCAATAACAAGAGGAATAAATAAAAATCTCTCCAGGAGAAAGAGCATTTGGAAAGTAATACCAGCAACTGAACGAAGCCCCTCAAGATGAACTGGTGTTGCTGCTCAAGTGCCTTCTCTTTTGCTTATCTATGTTTCTTATCTAAAAATAACCAGTTTATAATAATGTTAACAAGACATACAAGCACTACCAGGGTGGGACAGTCCTGCAGCTTTATATAACAGGCAACACACAGGCTGCACCTTGCTTATCAACCCTGAGCATCATAATAAATAATAAATCAATAATAATAAATAATAAATTAATAATAATACAGAATAAATTCTTTGTGGAAAGGAGTAACATGACTCACAGCCTTTAACAGCCTTTCCAATCCCAACCTGAAGTGCCCAATATCCTGAATTTGGGGGGAGGAGAGGGGTATGGCAGAGGTGAATTCACCTTTTAATGTTACCGTCCTCCTCAATTTGGAAAGGAGATGACGAGTATCGCTTAGAAATGCTGCAAACCCCCTTCAATAATTAATTTGGCTTGCTTATTTGCAGAATGCTTTAATAAATTGCACTGCTGTTAAGATTACCTCCGTGAGGTTCCTAACGCAACACCCTTGACACCTACAGCGTTTGTACATACACGTATAGGTATGCATTAATGCTTATATATAACAAAGCAGAACAATCACATTTCAGCACAGGAAAAACTGTTTGATGATGTCTAGACATCTCAGTGACAAATGTCACTGAATACTTTGGAGTCTACAGGGTTAACACATGGAACTGACATTACCAGATCTTGCTATACCGCTGTCTCTGTCCTCATTCTGCTCCCTCCCAGGCATATCCATAGGGTTGCTATGAACTGTAAAACAAGGAATACCAATTAGCAGGGGGATATACAGTTCCTTTCTTGTCTGCAGATCTCCATGTAATTAATGAAACAAAAACATGCTCATTAATTCAGATCAACAGCACTGCACAAGGCCATCACCAAGAGAGGCTGCTTAGCTGAACAAACCAAAACACTTCTCTGAAAAGCCTGTGAAGTCCATACACCTATTTTAGTACAAACTAAAACTAGTACACTTTGTTTCTTTACATTGATTATTGTTCAATGAAATTTTAATGTACCAAAAGGATGTCGGTCACATTGGTAGTACTCAGTGTACAGACCCACCAAAAAACAATATAAACATGACTTCATTCATATATCAGCTTTCTCAGGTATTTTACATATATATAATTTTGAAAGGATTTTACAATGCTGTCGTGAAGAAAAGAAATACTTTTAAATTGCGAGCAGTGCATTGGCTGTTCAACTAAGCCATAAGCTGTCCAGATTCAGTCTGCATATACACAAGATCCAAAGTGTCTCAGGCTCAATAGTCTTTGAATGTGATATATTTCACAAACACGTATGTGAAACAAAAGCTACTCAGCCATGGAAATAAGACCCAGCCACTAAAAGCAAGAAATCTCTATTTTACATGAACCTAGGTTAGCTTTAGTTGTTACAGTTTGGTTGAAACAAGTCCAGATCAAAATAGTTTGACATTATTGCGAAATATTATTTCCAGAAATATGAAATCCACCATTAAATATCTCTGTTTCCAAAACAAAACAACCAACCAACCCCAAAGAGGACTATTAAAATGCCTGCTGTCCTCTGGGGATTTAAAGCATGTGTCCAGAAAGGTAAGAGAGCAGACATCACTGAGCATTTTGCATTTAAAAAAAAAATAACTAAAAATCTTATTTCCAGGGCTAAACTACGAATCCACAGCATTTTGTCACCCCAGCTAGACTAGGCACACAGCACACGGCACACTGCAAACCTGCAAAGAAAGAGGCGCTCCGGATCAGGCGGAGCGGACCTTGCTCTGAGAACGCCCGCCTGGGGCTGCAAAGCTGTGCAAGACCTACGTGGCAAAACGTAAAATACACATGAAAGAATGAGGTTAGTAAAGCAGAACAGTCTGCGGGGAGGGGGCCAGGGCAGGGAGAAGATGTAAGCCAACATAAATGCAGACCAACGTACACAGGAGAACGGCTCTTACGCTTAACAAGAACGCTGATTCAAGGATACAGCTCACAGTTGGACTATATAATATTTACAGAATTAAAATAATAGACCCAGCTTTACACTGTCTCCCATACAAGGATGGAGTTTCTCTCCAAGGACATATTTTTTTTTTTTTATAAAAAGAAGTTGAAAATGACTAATTCATGCCGGCTCGAAGCCTAACTTGATCACAAACAGGAGATTCATGGTGGAGTACAATGTTTGTTTTAACATCCACACTGGTGGGGTGGCTGAGGAACACTGTTGCTGAAGATGATGGGGAGGGAGGGGGGAGAAGGCAGGCAGAAATTCGTCTGAGCAGAACCAACACAAAATCATAGGCTGCGTAGTTGTTCTGAGGACAGCCAGTACATCAGTTTAGTGAAATGATCACACAGAAAATAAATGTTAGCAGTCTCAGTAGTCCATTTTTAAAGTAACACTGGATTGTAGATGCACCAGCTTATTTATTGTACACAGAGCCAGGAAAAACACATGGGTATTTTTAAAGGGTTAATTGCCAGTCCAGCTCCTAAATTTGAAGGTACTGCTCACTCAAAGTTTTCTGATTTTACAAAACACAAGGGCTGCACCTCAGCAAAGCTCCCTTCCATTCTCTTACATCTTCACTCATTAAAGGGAAGGACATGACCAGTGCTGCTTTTTTAATTTTTTTTAAACCAGCATATCTGAAAAAAGCAGCTTGTAAATAGTTCCCAACCAAAACACACAGGCCCTTGTCCTATGGCAGGCTGGAGAGAGCCAGAGGGTCAGGAGCAGCCTTGGCTGCTGAGCACAGCTGCTGGAGACGCTGCCGTTACAGATTAACTCCTTCCCCTCCTTCGCCCGTGGTTCCCTCCGCGCCGAAATGGGAACTGTAAACAACCACTGGAGACCCGGCTGGAAACTTGTGCAGCTCAATTCCACAGAAAGTTTCACCATCCTCTTCCAGAAGGCAATCCCATTGCTGCTTGCTGCACGTCCTTGCACCGAGGTGCCCACGCCTGCAGGCCAGCTCTCGGGGCAGTTATCCTTTCTGTCCGTGGGGAAGAGTCACCCTCCCTCCAGAGCCGGACATGGATGAACGTGCAGCACTGGCTACACCTACATCATAGTGAGTCCACACCTCATAGTTGCACTATCCGAATTTGAACTTGCAGTTTAGATTGCACTGGTGATAGAGCAAACTTTTGCCAAGCACAAAGCACAACAGAACCCTAAAAGCAGAGGAAGTGAGTTCCTCTCTTTTGTATCAGGTACCTCATTTGCTCCTGCACTGTGAAAAATCACATTTGAATTCTGAAAGGAATACTGAATTTTAAGGAAAATGGATCTTTTTAACTTTCCTGACTTATTAAATTCAGGAAGCATTTAATAGATAATAGGTTCTTACAGCTTTAATTGGCTACCCTTATAAACAGACTATTGGGAATTATTTTAACAAGGTATATGGCTTTCGAGCCTGAAAAGCATTTAAGCCCAAGCTTAGGTATAGTCTTATCCAAGTCAGTGTGAAGGAGAGAAGTAAACACACCCAACAAGAATTAGGACCATGTCAAAGCTAGAAACCCAGTTAGAGGAAGGAAGTCATCAAATCCACTCCTTACTTCCAAACCTAGAAAAGTGTATTTTACAAAGAGCAATATTCTGGAAAGCAAATGTAAAAAGCAGCTCTTTATTCCTCTTACTAGAACAGACATTTGCTTGGAAAGTCAACAGCCTAAACCAAGGGAAAGGAAGGATCTGAAGAGCTCATCAAGCTGCTATATTGGACAAATGAGCCCTGAAGTACAGCATCTTTACTAACAGCTCTACCATTCCCATGGGCAAAAGCCAAGACCTTCCCCTCTTTCTGTAATCTAATGTTCATGGAACTTTCACCCACAGTACTTCCACGAAGGCTGAGAACCAAAGATGCCAGGTGGTTTTTCAAGACTGCTTAGCTTCCATGGTCAGGCAGAAAGAGCAGAGAACAAAAAGATATTTTGTTTAATCCGATCAAAAACTCCAGCTCAACAGTGCAAGGTTAACTTGGACTAGTATGAAACACACGGCCACACGTGCTCAGGTGGCCAGAGTACAGAACAGAATGAAAATTATTAACGAAAATAAAACTGGGGAACCGAGCCAGGCAGAATCAATCCTGCCTCATCTGAGATATGCTGCTTAGAAAGTTCTACAGACTTATTTTCCAACATTTTCTATATTTGAACTGAAGTATAACCAAATATTTCTATTATATATTTTATATACAGCTGTATATATTGAACCACCGCTAATTCCTTGAACTGTCCAATTTATTCGCCTCCAAACTCCACCAACACTAATTTTGTTATGTCTTTAGCTTTCTTTTTTTAAACAGATTTTATTCTATTTAGAAGACTTTCATATTCTAGAATCTATGATTACTCAGTTAAAGACATGAGGAAATAAATGCATTTGTAATTACCTATATTCCCAAGAAGTCCATTCATAATTGTACTGTGGTCAGGCTTTAGCGTATTGCTGTCTTGATTAATGAACTCAAGACTGTCCTGCAACCTATAGCAAACATAAAACATATAATGAAAGCAGTGATTTGCATTTCAGTAGGATACAGTGTTACTTCATTACGCCCAAATGGAACGGACAGGATAAGGATGTAGGCTTCCACTAGAAAAAGCTTTTATAGCCTAAGCCACCCTTCTCAGCTGGGTCAATTAACACACAGAAAACTAAACACTGAACCCTCTGCAGTCAGATGTTTTTGTAACACCTTTTTCTTCATCTCGGACTGAATTCCCCAGCTCCAGTGTTCTGTCCTCATCCCTTCTCCTTTGGTGACTGCAGGTACTTTGTACCTTACAACATCCAGCTTCACCACATCAGCACTAAAGGAATGGTTCATTCATTCGCGTAAAGCAAACGGAGGTGAAGATAACCGCAAGGGAAAGGTGAGGACACTAGTGACATGACGTCACAGAACAGGGAACAAGAAGTTATTTTGCTAGAGAAAAATCCTGGAGGGTCAAAACCAGTCTTCTGTGTTCTTACGTTCACCCGCTTGCGCGCGATAGATACCATCTGTAACGGACTCACGTATTCAGACTTCCGTAGATGCTGCTTCCAGTGCGAGCTGTGAAAACCTTGCTGAGCATGAGCTGAGGAGGCGAGCTGGAGGACAAAAAGGAAGATGTCAGTCAGAAACACAGGGCCAAGACAGGCTTTGCTTTCCATTTCACAACCTTTCGGATTTTATAGACTTAAACATGACATAGCAGCCTGTTGAGTCGAAAGTGACATCAGAATAACCTGAAAGCAAACCCAGAAATTCCTTTCACTCTGCACTTGTGGCATTCAATTCATTACATTTTAGCACTAAGGAGTAAGTCTCCTGAAAAGATCAGCAGTAATAAAATAATCTTACCGGATCTGGTGAATTTTTAATGTGGAGCCCTTGTAGCTCATGGCCACAGAGCCAAACATCATCTCTCCAAGCATGTTAGCATCTGAGGAGCACCGAGAACCCTGAAAAAAAAAAACACCAACATTTGTTTTTAAGCATTTTAGAAGCACGTTTCAATTAAAGCAACACACGATCAAGGAAAATCTTTATTTAAAAGATAAACATGCGAAATATCTTGCTGTAACACTGTTGAACACACTAAGTTGGACAGTTCAATAAAGGTAATGCTAGTGTAGAGAGTGCTCTTCACATTGGCTGTGAGCTAAAGCACTAAGACCATCAAGCAAACCCAACCCATCTCCAGGGGGTGAGGGGAAGCAGATCCAAACTGCCCTGAGTCGGGGACTAAAAAGTCTTAAGAGCATGACAGCATACTTTGCTCAGAACCAGTAAGCCTAAACCTTGCGTCTGCTTGCCAAGAAGAATCACAAGTTCACTGGAGATCTTATGCAGACTGTGCACTGGGGCCAAGCTGGACCAGTGCTTTCTTGACAAAGTCTGATTTGCAACTTATCCATGGATGGTATTTTATATTGGATGCATCTTTCCCTGGTGCACCGGTGATGGTACCAGCAAAGAGCTGTAGCATCATGATGCCAGGCTTAAGCTGTGCGATTCCTGCATCTGGGCTGGTGAGAGCTTGCTGCAAGGCATACTGGCTAAATACAAAGGAGGAACGTCACCATGCTGCATCACAGGCTAGATCAAACACCGCAGACAAAACCCTGAAATTAAAAAGTTACTCAGGGCAATCAGCTGGAGACGACTGCTCAGCTGACAGTCACCCTATTTGTATACTTCCAATGACTGAGATTACTATCCCTTTATCCAGGGCTGTTCCATCTCGAGGCTAGCAGAACGTTAGCGCTGGCTCGCCGTCTGTGCCTTGCCCTGAATAATTTCAAATCTCGTGATCAGTCACTCGCAGAGCTCAGGCGGTTCAGGGGTGAGGCACTTGGGTACTGTGCAAGAGAGCAATACATTTCCTTCGAGGTGCATGGTAACTAATAACCCTTCCTTGGAGTAATCCTTCAATCCTTAGGGACCAAAAGGTCCCTAAAACCAGTCAGGGAAATAACCTTGTGTTTGGAAAATGCTAAGTGCCATACCTCCATATCCCTTATCCAAGCTCTGAACAACCAGGATCCTCACCCAGATCCCAACGCAGGCTTGGAATATATCTAAGCATTTTGCTCAGCACCAGACAGGGAGCTCAGAGGACAAACAAGGACAGGGCGTCCACACCATGGATTCCCACCAGCAGTAAGGAGTGATATGAAAATGACCACTCGACGTTTCTGCTCACGCTAGCCCGCAGAACAAGGGCAGGAACAAGGGAATGCTCATCAGCCAAAAGGCGACACACTTACAACGCTTCCCAATTTTTAGCTCTTCTCGAGCACTCTCAATTAAGATGATGGTACTTTAACAGACATACTCTTAACCTCTGAAATCTGCTACCAGTGCAAGAAAGACAGGCGATGACTGAAAGTAGCAACCAGTTATAAAAATGAGGATACAACTGCAAGGTTTGTTAGCGTTCATATGACAGGGCAAAAGCTGATAAAAAAAATCAAAACCGCAGCTAATGAGCTGGGTCTCGGAGAAATTTCCATCTTTACCTCCTGGGATACTGTACTGCCTACGTGCACTGTAGGCAGTACTGGAAAAACGAGACTTTAAAATCAGTCAGAATGACCCAGCAGCTCCAAGGAAATAAAAGGATAGATGTTAATGGCTCTAGGAAATTATAGGTCTGCCAGCATCATGAAATCTTGAAGTAAGAACACGGCAAATTACCACAGCCAAATGTTATGATTGTTATTTTTAAATCTGTTGCAGATCTCCAGCTGAAGGACTCACGCTGAATAAATGACGAGGCCTTGATGGTTGGTTTTGGTTTCAACTTTCTGCTGTTGTGAAAATCTAATTCTAAAGCCGAGGAAAAATCTTTTATCTTAAAAGCATTGATTTTCTTTGTCAAGCAACCAAATTAAAAAAAGCAAGTGAAAACCAGCCGCTTTCAAATTTAATTATAGGGGTTTCCCTTTCCTCTGAAAGACAGAGACAATCAATGCCGAAGGCAAAGAGCATGGTAAGGTGCACCCACGGCCTGTTTCAGCCTGGCATTTCATCGACACTTAATCACAATAATTTTACCATGTCTAACAGAAGATGCACATATTTAATGCATTTAGTATGGAAACACTGCTACAGCTCAACTCTTTGGGCCTTTAATGCTGCAAAATAAAGGTCACTCAAGACCAAAGTAGAGTGCAATCAACTGAGGAAAGGGGTTAAATATTAAAACCTCAAACAAGAAATAGCCAAGGAGCATCTGGCAAAAAGGGCACAACCTCCAGCACTGACAGCCTGGACACAAACCAATTCCATAGGTCATGTTTATGAGCTCACATAAAAACGGATCATAAAAACACCCACAAGTGTTTGTTATTGCACATTACCATGTTAGAGGTAGTAAAATCTGCATGATTTGGAAATTCCACTTCTGAATATATTGACAGCATTTAATATTCCACTTACTGTACGTACTGTCCTATCAATAACTAAGTAGATATGCAAATTTGAAACGCAGTACAGAAATACACGTCAAATGTCACGATCGACGAGTCAGACTTTCAGTCCTGCCTACACTGACGAGCAGGTACAGAGGTAACACTACTATCACAACGTACCAGTAACTGGGGGCAAACTTAGAAACATGTTCACCTTCATCTTCATGGATTCTAATTGCATTTGTGAGGGATCTGGATAGGACGTAATTAAAAATATGGAAGCCTGCAACAAAACTCTGTATTTCACCTTGCAATAAAGTTGCTCATATATAGTCAAAGTGTATTTAAGAATCATAAAACAGTCAGGGTTGGAAGGGACCAAAGAACTATTTTAAAAGTCCTACAGCGTTGTATTATTTGGGCTTCCATATTATAGGAAAAAAAAAAAAAAAAAGAACAATCTTATAAATACTGCAAGCACATGCAGTAACTTCTGAGGTTACCAGACACAGCAGTGAGAAGATGGGAAATGCCAGGCTGACTGGTGTCTGCACACACTTACCCTGGCCCTTCTGCGTACACGACAGAAAATTTTATTGTGCAGTAAAGAACTCTCGTATTTATGGCTCTCTGCTCACTTGCTGGGGAAGCCTGGAAGGAGCACAGGGAACACGGCAGACAGCTTACAACAAACACCAACTTTTGTGTTGGTTGTGGAAGACCAACTTCAGCTGGAAGTTTCTCACACGCGTTCTGAGCCAGTCACAGAGCCACAGATCACTCCAGTTCAACCCAGTAAGATTTTGACTAAGTGATACGCAAGAGGAAATGGGGACTCAAAAGGGAAAACTTCCCACAGCTTTAAAACCCACTGTCATGCCAAACACTAAAATTCATCTCCTTTAGTAATGCTGACCGTTGTTTGCACAGAGCCTGCCTGATTGGATGGATAATTTTGGGATAGTGGGGGGCATCGTTTTTCTTGGTCACACAGTGCACGAAGGAGGTTGTTTTGTGCTGGAAGGAAGCTGCTGACAAAAACGTCTCTTTCTTTCACAACCGCAGCTAAACGCCCTTCCAGGAAGGGAGGAATGGAAAACAGATCTTCCGCCACCTTAGTAAAGCTGTGGAAAAGAGTGTGATGAGAAAGAGAAAACAAGACTATGCAGCTCGCCAAATATAGCAAGAGCCAACGTGACAGTGGGAAAGTCAGCACTGAAAGGTGCTTCGTTTATATCTACGGGAGATTAAGACATCAGTAGTACTGTACTCCAGAGCAGGTTGTGGAGATAGCAGCTTCCCTCAAACACACAATTACTTCATTACAAAGAGTGGAAGGGCTTAGTTCTATTTTCGGGTGGCTTAATATAAAACACTTGTGATCCATGGAAGAAGAGATGACAGAAATATATCCGTGTCAGATGACTCCAGCTACTCTCATGGCCAAAATCTCTTATGTAAAACGTAACTCAAGTGCACTGAATCCCTTGTTATAAAGCTGTTACACAGACTACCCGACAGACAGCCCATTTCTCTGTTATTTCCCTGGCATTCAGCAATAAAGCAAAATAAACCACCTCATCTATACCAAGGTAAGATATTTGTGCCAAGTCCGAGCGTACCGACCGAGTGTCATCACCCAGGTCATAAGGCAGAACAAATGCCCTGGAGAAATCGCTGCCATTCAAGACACACCCCGAGAGAATCAGCTGGTTGGTTTTAGACTTGTTCAAACCCAAAGCTACAGAATTAAACACTACTGAGTCAGAACCAAAGTCTGATTTTGACTGAAAACTGCTCTCCACCGCCAGCCTCTAATTTCAAGCATTTTAAAACATTCGATACCTGGGTACTGTATTTGACATGGGTTATGCCAAAAAAAAAGAAAGGAAGAGTGACTCACCTGGTATTTTGGGCATTGCTCTTTTGGGTCAGAGAACGAGGAGGATGAATTGATTGAACTATCCAAGGAAGAAGAGCTGTCTCCTCCAGGCTTCAGTTGGCAACATTTCCCAAAAACTCTCACCTGAGCATCACTGCAGAGTTTCTGAAATACAGACAACATGTACCACACTAAGACCCACGTCCCAAAATCGCTGTTTAGCAGCTCTGTACTTACCTGTTCAGGTAAGATAATTAACAGCTGAAAGGCTTATGCATCAGGAAAACAGTTAACAATATTTGTTAGTGTCTCTTGCAGCGTGGCTGTACTGGGAAAGCTGAGCTGGTCTACTCCCAATTAGCCAGGAGCTAACAGGTCACTCCAGCTCCATTCTCCTAAGTAGCCATCTGTCTCTGAAGCTTTACAAATGACTTTTTTAGACCCAGGATTAGGAGAAAGGACGGTACCAAAGCATTTAAAGGAAGAATGGCAACAATAGCCTCCAGCTGTCTTCATTCTGCTCCCTGTGCCCACTGGGGTGGAGGTGACACAGCAGGACGATGGGGACGGCCCTCCAGATTGACAATGCCAGCCAGATCACGACAAGGAGCGGCTCTGGATGTATGGGAAAACACACTGATCGGAAATAACTGAGCAAGAACAACGCGGAATTCAAGAGAGATTCATGTTACAAGGGTAAGTGGAGAGGCAATACATTATTTTCATAGATCTCTCCCTAGCTGTGTGTAAGTCTCCTGGTCTTTTTAAGTAGCACAGAGGGGACATGTTCCTCCCGTCTTCACCAAATGATGGAGAAATGGTCCACAGGGTGATGGGTGATTTCTGATAGAGATGTAGACAGAAGAGATAGCAAAAAAAGGGAATTGGGAGGGCTCAGATGGAGCTGGAACTGACACACAGGATGGGCAGGACATGTGTCCACTCTACACACGCAGCGTTACTGATCACGGGCACAGGAGACACCCCACTACTTTGTTCACTATTTCTAAACATCTGTGATGTCCCCTGTGAATCTCAGCATCCCGGGCACAATCAGCATCCGTGCCAGTGAGCGCTGTTTACGCTAGCATTAGGCAACCCTCTTCACCTGAAGATCTCAACGTATTTTTCATATCCTCGTTACACTTCAAAGCACTCACATAAGGCTGACATTATTTACATTTGCTGGCGGGCAGCACTAGGAGACAGAAATAGTCTACACTGCTCAAAATTACATACTAACTCTGTCCTAAGGCTTTAATTAACATTTTCTATACAATCACCGAACCACTAAGAGGAAGGTGGAAGCAAAGACCACTGGAAGCAAGGTTCAAGGGACTGATGGAAATACAGAATTGCTGTCACATGTCACAGCTTCACCTCTGGGCTCACAGGTCCACATCACAAGTTCCTCCTTCACTCAAAACCGTATGTCTCAATCTTTAATAGCTATGAAAAAGGAAAAGGCAGAAGGAAAAGTGTGGAACACCCAAAGCACAGGGTGTTAACTTCATGACTCTGCTCAACTATCAGCAACAATTGTACAAAAAGACAACTGCCCTTACTGCCGTGGAGGGACTTCGATGAGGGACGACTTGGGAATCTCACACCTCTGTCCTAGGCTTTTTTCCCCCCTAAATCTCACCCACAGTTACGACAGGTGACTTTTATTGGGCCCTAACTGTGGGTGAGATTCAGCAAACCAGCAGAAAACGTGAGGGATTTCCGAGCTCCACGCCGCAGCCTGCACCGCTGCTGCCATTAGAGAGCGGCTGCTGCAGAAAGCCTGAAGGAAAAACGTGCAGACAGATCCGTAATTCTGCGGCAGAGGGGAAGGAAGCACTCACCAGCCACTGAGTCCTGTGCTTTACTGACACACACAGCCTCTCCTAGTAGTATCCTCTCATTACGACATGGGGGCGAGTACGCTGAATTCATGCAATACGTAGATTTGCTAACGGTTAGTATCTGTGGCTTGAGCACAGTACACAATGGCTGGAACACGTGAGTGATCATCATATGACTTCAGTAGGAACTCGTGAACTAGAATTGCATTTTATCTCTGACACAAACAACAATGTCCTAGGCTAGGCAAGCATCATGTGATAAAACCACATAAAATCCACAGGGTTACAGAAGCTTTTGCAGGCAAACCGCACTTCAGCTTGCATTTTCCATCAGATGTTGAAAGTTCCTTCTAAAAAGTTACAAGTATAACTAAGCTTCCTTGAGACTGTAAAGCCAGTAAATGTATTTCTACAGGTGAAAAAAAAAATCTGTGCATTAAAAAAGAAACAGGCCAAGTTTAAAAAATTCTTAAGTCATTTCTTCTCATTATTGCTGCATTTCTCTGCACAGCAGCTTTTCCCAGATCCACTGTGGAGTCTGGTATCTTGAAGCAATAGTTGTCTAATTTAAATAGCAAACCAGGAAAATGGCTGTTGGGTCTTTGCAGTGGAGTTTAATGAACCAAGACTCCTGCGAGGAGCCTGTAAAGGAGGTCAGGATCTTTCAGGTACCGCTTTTCAGAACGTTGCGAACGGCAGATCCCTCCTAAAACACAGATCACTGACAAATTACGGTGTTTGCTCTTCTACAAACTGAGCTTAAGAATAACCTGTTGGACAATGAGATCAAGCACCCGCAGTGCCCCTCTCCTCTGCAGTGTCTGACTCCAAATGTCAATGAAATTTTAGATGCTACAAATCTCAAGATATTACGCATCAAAGCAGTGGGATTAACTTGCATTCCAATATAATACTCCGAAGATATTCAAGCCAGGCTTCCAAAAATAAAAAGGTAACAATTATTTAAGAACTGCACAAGGGAAAGTTTCAAACTCGTGGATTTTCTTTTCAAATACACATAGTTGCAAGAAATCAGCTCCCTAGGCAAAGTGCTGCTGGAGTGCTCCAAAACGCTCCCTTTTGCTGGAGAGCAGAACATCTGCTGGAAGGATGCCGCGGGCAGCTGCCGCCCCGGGCTGCCACGCTGCTCTCCCCACTGCGGTCACACTCTTTGTTCTTCCTCTGCCAACTCGCTGCAGATACCGCCCAGCTCCGAAGACTTCCTGGCAGTCACAGTTCTTACATTCGGGGTCATCATTTGCTGAAAGTCTTGGAGACCTTTCAGGTAGTACTGAAGATAACTTAGAGCAAAATGTCTTTATAGTACGACAGGGTATGAAGTCGTTTTCTTCTACAGTTCCGCTTCTGGAATCTCTTTTCTCCACCTCTATCAGCAAAGACCTTTAACTCTTTGTCACAAGGTCTATAAATTCCTCAGTAAGTGGATAGAACATGCCTAGTGCTGTGCACAGGAAGAGGAATTTCTGCTGAGCAAGTTTTGGTTTGGGGATAAGACAACAGTTGAAAGGAGCCTGGTGCCTTGAACTAAATCCAAACTGTGTGCATGTGTGTTAGGGCTGTGAGTGACAGAAGGAAAAAGAAATGTCATCGTATGCTTTACTCTTTCCTACCTCTCTGCAACAGCAGGTGCTCAAATACCACTGTGATGGTAGTGACAGAGAAATCTATATATCCAAATAAAGTTGCCACTCTTCGAGAGCTCTGTACCTCATTTTAGAGCAGGTTATTTGGCAAAGATGAAATATTATTCCCAAATAGACAAACTAACTCTTTTGCTTCACGTGTGTTGGTGTGAATGTGTAATTAAACACATGCAGCCACCTAGGATATAACAGTAATATGAACAGGCATTCATTCCTTCCCTCCAACGCTGCTGTAAAAATCCAAGTATCTTTCTTAAAATGCAGCTGTCAAGTGCTACATTCTTCCTTTATTTCCAGACTTGTCAAGTTCCTCCGTTACTGAGAGGTCAGTGAAAGAAGTAAAGACAACTCCGTGCTCCCCCACACCACTACTATTCTTCCATTTCTGTTTAGGGAGAACAAGCAGAGCTAAGAAGGTGGGACTCACGTCTCTGCTTACATCTGGTGTCTTCATCCGTCTGCTCAGCCTGACTCACTGGAAATCTGTCCACCAAGAGCCAGATACAGACCAGAGCCTCCATTTCACACAACTCACCTAGAAGCAAAAGGCTCACTATCCAGTTACTAATCCCTCAAAGCAATTTGCTGCTCAACATTTAGCCAGTGCTGAAGTATATCAGAACACGTGGCTAATCCCGGCTTGTTTAAAGCAGCATGCCATTTTTCTGCTTTGGGATAAATATGACATTTGGAGTGAAAGAAATTGCCACAGTAGGAGATCAAGTATCAGACGACCTTTCAGTTAAATTATCCCACAGATAAAGACACCTAGGTTACATGGCAAAAGTAAACTTTTTGCTCCCAAAAATCCAAGTCCACTGTTGCACCTCTAGACCTCAAACTGTGCCTCCTGGACCACTCCTTCTCTTTCGTTTCTTTGAAAAGGAAAACAAACCCTGCTTCTGAAAATCCTCTTCTGACTCTGGGTCCTGGGAACAAGCCACTGCCCTTGTCTGATTTCTTGTTTTTCTCCCTTCCCAGTTAAACCAGTTGAACTCCAGATCCCGCTCAGCACAGTGCACAGCTTGTCTCTTGCATCCTTTCCTCCCTCCTCTTCCTCATGGTCCCTTGACACCCCCTTCTTCCTCCCTGGCCTCCACACCTTCCTCTAGGCTGATCTTTAGACTTAGAAAAATCTTTCAGCTTCTCACTTGTCCATCAGCACCTCTCTTCAGTCAAATCCCTAAGGTTCCACTCCCAGCTGCTTCTTTGGTCTTCTCCCCACTTCTTCATGGCCACATTTCTGTGGATCCTTATCCCAGCGAGCTGCTGGCCCTTGGAGCCAAACTCCTCAAGCCAAGCACGGAGGAGTCAGGAAAGGCAGAGCCGAGCCCGAAAGCTCAGTGCTGGCCCTGGCCAGGTGGCCTCTGCACCTCAACGAGGAAAAGGAGCTGCTTCCTGTGCTTGGTTTGGAATTCCAACCAGGCCCAGTATGACAGCTCTCGGAGGAGCGTACCTGTGCTCGCACACAGCTCTCCTGGAAGCTCAGCACAACCCAAAAGGGCAGACGTGTGCGGGGTCTTGGATGGCCACGGGGCCCCACGGAGCGGGACGGGTGGCACGTGCGAGGGGAAAGCAGGCGGGAGGTGCTGAAGGAGCAGACACGCACAGAAACGAGTCTATTTGTAGAAACCAGTCACAGGTTGTAATGCTATCGCCTGCGAATCCAGTAATCCAGTCCCATTAGAAACGAGACACTTATTGGTAAGAGGAACAAACTGAAGTAACTCTCTAGAGGAGACAGTGGAGCGAACCCACCAGCTTGCCTGTGGAAGTACTTTGACACCCAAAAATCCACGGGATGTGGACGTTTGGGTGCGGACCAAAGCTGTTTAATAAAGGCACTTAGTAATGTCTACTCCTATCAACGCTGCCCTGGGATACTCAGTATGCAAACGTCTGTTCGGATACACTTGCTCACGAGCTGGTGCCACAGGGCTGGAAAGGGCAGTTGCTCTCTTCTGGGATACCCTGGCAGAACTTGGGCAGGAGACTTGCCCAATTTTCTGATGCTCCTGAGGCAGCAGCCCTTCAGCTCTGCCTACAGAGCCCGGCCGATCGATAGCCCATCCCCTGGAAAGCCAGGGAAGAACCTCTCCTGCTCAGCACCAAAAAAGGTATAGGACTCACAAAGGGGAAACTCTCTGCCTCCCCTCCATGCCAAGTGCCCACAGCTGCCTAAGGCAGATCTCTGCCTGGCCTCGGTGGAAACGCCTGGCACAGCCCGCGGCCAACATTCCCGGGGCGGCAGCCGCCAGCCCTCCGAGTCACCAGACTGCTCCTTGGCTTTGCTCGCCAAGTTTAACTCCAGCAAGACCTGAGGAAAACATCGCTTCTCCTGCACAACCGAAACACTTCAATGGCCATATTGCAAACTCTCAGCTGCCTTCTGCCTGTCTCCGGACAATACCCTCCCAAAATCCTTGTTTACCTAATATTTAGCTTTATTGAAGACATGAAGAGGCTGATTTAACAGCCGATGAAAGCAAAAAACCCTTATTTGTGTTAGAGCCACGTTTCCCTCACAGATAACGTGAACCTAGTAATGCTTTAATAATTAGAGCCCAGCTTGGTGTGAGCACGAACTCTGCAGTTCTCACTCATCAGAAAGTCAGAGCCCACTGTTTTATTTCTTGAAACATCTGTGTCTGGAGAAGTTTGCTTTGATGCTCCTTAAATTTTACACCCGTATCTTCCCTTACAGAATTGAAATGACTGAGCTACGTTCAAACCTTGGTCAACCGCACACAACTCTTGACATATGTAGAGATCAGATATATAAAATAGAGCAAAGCATATCTCACCTTGCTGCAGGCATACAACTCTTACATGATAATTGCTTTCACGTCTCGTAAGCAACAGAAAATGGCAACTGAAGAGCACGGCAACATAAAGCAAACTGAAACCCTCTCGGTTCCCCACGTTAGACTGATTAGACTTCAACCAGAACGGTCTGGCCACCGCTAGGCACTCCTGCAAACCTCCCCCCAGCGTTATTTGTAAATGTAGAGGTATAAATCACGTTAGGAAATGGGGGGGAAGGGTTGGGGAGATGCAGAAAGCGTTGGCTTTTGTGGGGTGGTGAACAGATACCCTTTCAGAAGGGAGAGTGCCCAGCCCACACACGTCTTGCTGCAAAAGGGCAAGAGTGCCTTGGAATGTGCTTAGAGCCAAGATCTGGCTTTGTATAGGCAGGGTGTGTCTCTGTTAATGAAAATCATGATAAAGAGCGAGAAAAATAAACAATGCAATTCCTTGAAAATGGCCAGTACGTACTGCTAACTGTACAAGCCTGTACTCAGCTCACAGCAAGCCGAGCCGAGGACTCTTCTGCACGTTTTTACCCGCATAACGTTTCTGCTACTGCAAAGTTTTGTTTTACGAGGAAAGTTTTGCCTGACGTGACGTTATCTGAGTGCTGCAGAAGGCAGCTATCATGGCAAGCAAACGGTTCAATATATTCTCTTTCGAAGTCTCCTAATGCCACAAAAAAGAAGAAATATATCAAGTTAGTAGAGATGAGTGCTGGGCATTTCCAACACCCTGGGAACAGTCTTTCTCCACCAGTCTCACACGGTCATTGCACAGAGATGGTGAACACAGCTATTTCCCTCCCCCTTAGCAAAGAAAAATAAAGGAGAGATTAATATGGAGCCACAGTAGCTTCACTGTCAGCCATTTATTCTGTTACTGTTGAGCTGCCACGGCCAATGATCTTTCTGAAATAAACCAAAACAGTGAAATTTGCAAGTTCACTGTGCGAGTACAGATCCGTCTTAAAGAGGTTTTAGGCTTTCAAGAAATCAATTGAAATATGGCAAGGGGGTTTATACTGTACAATATCTTTTTTATTAATGAAGTAATACTTTGTAATTAATGAAGTAATAGGAATACGCATAGCCAACAAATTGTACCAATAAACCACTTCTAAAGATCTCTTGTCTTTAAAAAACTATTTTCCTGCCAAGAACACCTAGGAGATCAGGAACTTATAATTTATAAGGACATTCTAACAAGTTAATGTTAAAAAGAAAGATGCATTTTGTTCAACATTTGTGAAACTTGCTTTACTTCACAAATTCTCAAAAAGAACTAGGAAATTGGGATCTTGATTCACAGCTATAAAAGCGCCAGAGTAGGCCATGGAGAAGCTTGGGAGTCAGTGCCTGATGAGACACAAATTGACTCCCAGAGGTCAAGATATGCAGAGATAGGAAGCACTAGGGACCAGGATGAGAAGCATCAGGCTGGCAGCATTCAGCGATAGGCTGGAAGAGTCTACAAAGCTGGATGAAGGATCTTCTGGATGTACTCCAACACCCAACAGGAAAACCAGGGCTTGGAGGTAACATATTGTGTGTATTCCTGCTTACAGAACTTAGTAGGTCCTACAGGTAAAAGCAACCGGGATGATAAACTTCAGTTCACACAGTGCTTTCTGCTTGCAGAGCTTAAAATGGTCTGCAAATGTTTTTAGAGAAGGTGAAAAGGAAGTTCAAAGCAGCAAAATAAGTTGTCCAACCTCACATAATATGATAATAGCACTGTGGCTAGAAATTCATCTTCTGGCCAGAGCCCTTAGAAGGAAGTATCCTCATCTGACTACATCCATGACAGTTTCAATTAATAGATTATCATGCAGACCATGCCAAAAGGAAGAACAGAGGAAAAGTTTTCAAGTAACTTTGTGGGAAAAACTGTCAGCAAAGCACAGAAAGGACGATTGGCAAAAGCTACCAAACAGCACACGAGAGGACATGGGACTGGGAGGACCTTCGGATTAAGAACGCAGACCCCACCACGGCACAAAAGCAAGCCCATAATATCAGTCCATGCCCTGTCTCGGCCCCCCAGCATTGCCTGCTGCAGTCCCGGGAAGGAATCCTTCTCTCTGAAAGAGCAGCAAGTAGACAAGCACAGGAAAAAAGATCACTATAGTATTTAAAGCTGGTGAGAGTGAAATCACTGAAGCCTGGATAATTTGCAACTTAACAGGCATTTAAATATAGCCCTGCGTATAACCGACGTCTCAATGTTAATTTGAATAAAACACAACATTTGTGATTTATCCATCTTGCCATTTTAAAAAATACAAAGCTATAACTGTGTGAATTAGTAAAATACTCACCGACACAGAAACATCCTCTATTTTTCTTTTAGCACTGGAGTCAAACAAGACATTCCGTCCTCTTCTCTCGCAGTCCTGATACACAATCAGTCGGATCTGGCTTGGGTCAAACTCCGGCAAAGGCCAGCTTTAATTGAAAAATAAAAGAGCAGAAGGATCAATTACCACACACTTTATAACACTGTTCCTTCTACATTATCTGTATATACAACTTGATTAAAACATAAAGTTGAGCAAACGCAATGCCATTTCATCAAACCCTTTGATCCTGCAGCCAGAACTATGCCTTTTGGTTTTTTTTTCTTTCCCCTACACTCGCTAAATTACACCAGCATGAACGGCACCAACCCACTACAACCACATACAATGACGTGCGCAGCATTACTGGCTCTTGTGCTCTGTCTTGTGATATTTGATGTTTTCTTCAAGTTCCAGCTTTGTGAAATCGAAGTCATAGAAGAACTCAGCTTTTGTGTTTAAAGACAAAAAAAAAAAAAAAAAGATTCCCTCATGCAAGTACTCATACTCAATGCAAGTACTAAAGCATTCACAATTCAAAAGCAAAAAGAAAAAAGTATATATTCATACTGGGCTCTCCCTTAAGTAATGAATTTCTGCATTTACAGTCATGAGTTTTCAGCTTCACGGGTTGGTAAAGCACTGAAGAAGTCCACAGCTGAAAAAATGCAAAGTACCTTTCCTGCCCTTCTTCAGGTTTCAAGCACTGTAGTAACGTACGTGTATAGAACCACCTGCAGTAGAACTACAACGGTCATACTGATAGATAAGCTTTTACGCTGGGGAGCAGAGAACCACGTGTAGCTCAGTCTTGACTTCATGCTCAGGTCCTTGCTACATTCCGACTTAGGAATAATCTCCACTTAAGCCACTGGGATTGAAGGCCGTGCTGCTGCGTGGGTCAGCAAAGCACACGCAGCAGTCCCCTTCGAACACACCTATTCCCAAAGTGGTTTTGCAGGCAGTAAAACAAGGAAAGGAGCTTTCCTGAGCATCTGCCTCACCTATTCCCAAAGTGGTTTTGGAGGCAGTACCAAGGAACGGAGCTTTCCTGAGCTTCTGACTTCAGAGGAGCTCTGCAAAGGGGGAACTTGCAGGGCTCAGGCTCCAATACCATTGCATAACCTCACCTTTAAGGGTGCTTTGTAGACACCATCTTAAATTTCCATTTTAAAAAGCCAGCCATGGCTTTAAAGCTCAGCAAGCATTGTTGCCCTGGGCTTGGGAATTCATTTTCACTGATAACTTCTCAGTTCTTGGAAGACAGGAAACAAGACACCTGCTCTATCCATGAAACCAACAGGAATCATCTTTCAGCTGGTTATGTGCCATTTCCTAGATCAAGTGAAATTCTGTCCTCCTTATCCTTGGCTTTTTAGGCAAAGCAGCGTTAGCACAAAACCCCAAGAAGTGAGAAACGAGGCGCTGGAACCTTCCAGCCATTAACGAAGGATACAGGCTCCCAGTTTACAAGAAAGAGATGTACATTTATTTCAGCAAAAAGACACCCATGATTGATAATATGGATTAAAGTAAACCTGCCATGCTAGACTCAGTAAGACTACAGTAAATCTTCCTCTCCTCTGTCCCTCTAATTCACCAACCAAAGGTTTCTTCCTCTGCGCCCGTGCTTTGTGTGCTCAGTACGACGATTTGTCACCCAACAACTTCTGTAACTGGTCACAGCAGAGAATCCAGATCACCATGGTTGTCTATCAGCAGTTTTCAAGACTGTCCAATATAGATTCACAGGCTTTACAACGAGTCTAGTCCCAGCGAGGTGGAACTAAGCACCAAGACATACAGTTACTCGGTCTCTTGAGAGAGGAAATCTGTTTCCTCATCTGCTCAGCCCCACCATTTAGCAACAGGAGAGAAAAACAGAAGCTGTAGAGAAGATAGTGTGCAACAAATGTCAAAAGCAACTTATTACAAGAAAAAAGCTTGAGCAACGTGAAACTAAATAACCTGATGTCTAGATGTGGGGGCAAGGAGTTGCACACCCACTGTTTGGGCACCTAAAGCCAAGCATCATCCACAGAGGGACATGTCCAAGCGAAGAACAGACTGCAAACCAAACAAAATTGTGTTCCAAAACCCAAGTCCAGTGACAAACTCAGAGTAGAGCTTATGTTTATGGTGGCTCTGCTAATGAGCCCCGTCTTGCATTTCAGAAAACGTGAAGAAAACAAAATCCATATTGTTTGATGCACGTTTGAAGTGTCATCAACAGGGAGGCTCAAAGGCACTGCAGCTGGGAATGGTCATGTGTAGGAGCCCGACTTCAGCACAAGGTGAGGAGGCAAGTGAGCCTGCTGGGTAAACCTTCTTCCTGGAGGAACCATCTCCTTATATTTAAGTGAAATCAGTGGAAACCTGGAAACTCATTTTGTTTCCAGACAGGCCACTGTGGTTCCTTTAAAAAAACAGCATGTGACAACAACAACGACGAACTGCTTGCCAAAAAGGTGCTATCGCTTGCTTCACCCTTGCAACGCGTTCGAATTTCCTTCGCGCTCAGACAAAAGCATCTCTTCCATTACCTAGTGCTTTTGATATTTGACTTTGAAATTACTGGCAAAGAAGGGCAGTAGCTGTTCCAGATCTTAGGAAAGTCTACTTAGAAAAAGCCCCAAGAGCAGATTACACACTAAGAGGAGAGAAAGCTAAATATAAAACTCTTGCTGTATTCGGAAACACATCTGATGAAGGTAACAAGAGCTTGTTTACTTCTCAGCTTCTTCCCATGACATTTTAACTTTCTCTAGACAAGCATTTAGCAGATACCATCCATTAGGATTTGTGATAATTCCAAATAAGCGCTATCTCTGTTACATAATAGAGTCCTTAAGCACATTTCAGCCTTGCAAAAACATTCCCTGGCAATAGCGGGCCACTTCCCAAACCAGAAGAAACTTTGGAGAGAGCTGGGGGAACGTTCATTTCAACAGACAGTAAACAGAGGCAGGCTGGCACCTCCGGCTCACCCCACCACCTCCCAGCCAGGCACGTTTTTCTGGAGGAAGCGGGACCTGGAGCAGCTTTAAAGTTCCACTCAGCTCGATATCCGGAGAGATTACCCCGCAAAACACCCAAATTCCTGCGTGCAAGATGCAGGGAGCATTCTCAGACATAACAGGGCAACAGCGCTGCTCTTCAGCTAGATGAAAACTGACCTAGATCTTCTGAATAAAATTAGTTCTGTTTATAAATGGAAACTAACTTTGACGTTTAACTGATGTTTTCTTGAGATTCTTACAGGAAAACCAGGAGATGTAGAATCAAATGTTCTAGCAACGTTAATGACAGGTGAGTCTCCATCTCCCACGCTGTTCTGAAACGATGCTTCTCTTAATGAGGACTTTTTCCTGCATGACCTATCTACTGCTCTTTGATCTTTCCTTGAAACTGATTTGAAGAAATTTATTTAAAGAAAAAAAAAAAAAACAAAAAACCCAGAACAAACACAAAAACCACCACCAAGAAAACCCCAGCAATCTTTTTTTCACCAGTGGCAGTGTTAGTGACTTTGCCGCACAGTGCTGCGAGTTCACACGTCGAGCAAGAGAAGAAATAGCGATAAACAAGTCATTTCTGAGCAGGACCCCAGTCCTGGGGAGATCTCCACTACACAAACGGTAATTCCTCTAGAAGGAGGTGTTCAGAAACACCTATAGAACAGGGCAGAAATCATTGATGTCTAAATGCTGTGTGAGATAACGCAGAGACAAACCACACAAACCCAGACCTCACACCATCACAGACTGGCTGAGGTTGGAAGGGGCTTCTGGAGATCATCTGGTCCAGCCCTGCTGCACAGAGGCTAAGGCAAGGAGAAAGCACAAAGGGAAAGGAATTACTGGGGACAGAAAGGCAAACTTCCATAGGAATAATGATGAAATTATTAGAAAGTAATAATAACAAAATCAAGGTCTGAAAAATCATATCTTAATGCACGTTCACACTTAAGCCCTACTATTGTTCAGCTCTTCTCACTCACCTGTTCTGTTTTCCTGCCTTTTTTACATTCAGCCACGAGGAATATTATTTGTAGTTCAGATTTACAGATCCATTACATGCTTTCTGACATCTCTGCTGCGAGTTGCATGGCAATCCAGAACTCCAAGTTCTCTAGGGATGGATTTTCTAATTCCTGGAGTTTATTATTGCCGTATAGATGTTTCTCAGCAAAAGGCAACTGAATGGCTTTAAATTGGTATCACTACACTCTGCATGTTTTAACAGATGAAATAACAGACACAGAAATCCTTCGTTATCACTCCACCAATTAAAATACAAGATTTTTCCCCTGTAATTGAAAGCAAGTACAATCCTTCCTCCTTGTTTCTACTACAACATGAACAGCACTTCTTCGTAACATTAAGGGTTTAGTTTAATACTATTTTTCCTCCTGCTTGAGTCTTTACTTTTAAAACAATTTCATACTAACACAGCTGAGGTAGTATCCAATTACTTTTTAATAATTAACGCAGATATTCTAGAATTCTCAAGGAAAAGCAATTGAAGCCAATTGATCAAGATATTAAACAGGTAGGAACTGTAAAACAGTTACTAAGAAGTAAAGTTGCTCAAAGAATATGACTAATCATTGAAAAAGTAAGTTGAAACTATCACTCAATCTATTGTTTTCCTACATCGTGTTACCCATAGTTATAAAAACTGCCTGGTGATGAATCACTTCCAACTATTTTTACATGCATCTACGCAAACGATATTTATAGTTTATGCTAGCTTATCTGTTCTGCGTGTTTTTCATGTTAGCACCTTTCTAAAAGGCTGACAGGAACGGCCAGGGCAGAGCAGACGGTGGGTCCACCTCGCCCCGTGCCCTCCTCGCAGGGCTCCACAGGGAAGAAAACATCTTCCTTTACTCCTGTTAGATGAGCATCACAACAGAGGTGCAGGGATCCCCAGGGCTTATCTCCAACTCCTGCAGACGGTACTCTTCGTGTCTTATTGTTGGTACGGTGGTGCTCAGACCCAGCCAACTTCTACGCAAGCCTGGGACAGAAAGACTGTCCCTCTCTTGAAGAACTGACATTGTAAGACCGTTCCACTGGGTGCACTGGGATATTTCAGATGCAGATTAGCTCCACGTTCCACGGAGATGTACACTCACATCAAAGCACGCTCAACTTTACATACAAATCTAGTCGTATTTAGGATCCTACTTTGTTATAGGGAACGTGAACAGAAGCAGAAGGCAAATGGTCCTGACCTAGTCCAACCACCATATCATACACCTCTCACCTCTGACTGAGATGCTTTTTCCAACACGGGAATTCCTTCTCCTGCCCAAATTCCTCTCCACATTTCTATTATCTGTTACTGGATTTTTTTTTCTTTTGGCCTTGAGAAGATACAACAAAAGCTGGGTACACAGGACATGAGGAAAGTATTAGATGTATTTTAATACATTCTTATAGCAATCCAATAATTCGCTTATTATTTGACCGTTTCTGTACAAAAACGCTGTGTAGGTCTTTCTGAAAGAGCACAACTAATTTGGAAGCAACGAAAACAGCCCTGTGTGGTGTGTTCATGACGCTTCCAGCTTTGGAAGCCCATCCATTAGCAGAGCTTTTTTAAAGAGGCATGGGCAGGTTAGCTATTTTTTAATAATAACACCTGAAGTGCCAATGAACTTCATCAGGATTCCTGTGATAAGGATGATCCAGACTGCACCGCTGATTTGCAAAGTTGGCATTTTCCGTGAGAGATTCAATTTAAATGCTGGTGACAAAACATGACCGTAAGGCTGTGAGGAGGAGGAAGATTCCCGAAGCAGAGAAATCATGGGGCCTGTACTTGGAAAAAATTTTGCAAGATAATTGTCTTCACAAGAGCTGAGGTCACTGCAGGGTTGTGTGACTGTTGTGGTGAACGTCTGCTGATTCTGCAGAGAAAAATCGGCGTTTGTGCCTTGACCAAGGCCACGGAGGGAGCCCGTGATGATGATTGCAAAGGAGTTCACCCAGCACCCTGGCGATGCTGCCCTCTGCCACTCTGACCTCAGCTGGGCTTTCGCAAAAGTCAAACGACTTGGACTCTGGGTTGGAGCTTGGAAGAACTGATAGGCGGGGGATCATCTCTGGGACAACCACTCATGACGGATGACTGTCTCTAGCAGTTACGTTTTTAAGGTTTATCACAAGGAAATAATGTTTCTTCTTAAAAAAAAAGAAAAAGAAAAAAAGCCAAGCCACCCCCTTTTCATTTCTTGAAAGAGAGTGGCACGTCCACAGGCGCCGCAGCACCGCAGAGGTCAGCTCCATGCTGCATCTATAAACGTGTCTCGCTCATTTACCAGCTTAGCAATCCTCACCTTGAATAGCCGCTCCAAGAAACTTCTCCTGCTTATACTAAGCACATACTGTACACCAGGCACCTACTCAGTCAGCCAGATATTTCACACTCAGTGTAATAAACTTGGACCTAAACTTCAAGTAGCTTCCAAGGTCCTTGGCTCTGTCCAATTCTTTAACTGTGTATGAAGCTGACTTCAGTTTGTTTTCATTTTTTTCTCCCTTCTACCAAGTCACTTGGCTCTCAGTACGGTACCTAATGTATACTCTGAAGCTCAATACATGAGCCAGGTGCCTTTCCACAAGCAAAAAGACGTAATATATGCAGGTTAGGCGCAGTCTAGTCAACACATTAATCATAATCTGGAGTGTGATATTGAAAATAAGAAGGTTGGAAGGTTTTGTTAAACCTCCAACTCAATGCGCATCATGTTGAGTAACTTCACAATTTATGATTAGTATTAGTAATTTCACAGAGTATTTTTGGGACTACTCCACGTATGTCCTTTCAAAAAGTACCTGCTCAGCTTTCAGCTGATTTAAGCACATATATGCATGCAAACATATGCACACACAAGCTCTGTGCTCTTTTGAAATACCTGTTTTAATAAAAAACACAAACAAACAAGACACAGCTCCTTTCAGCTAAACTCACTAGCACCGAACACAATGTTTTACATTATTCAAGCAGACTGCACTTCCCTTTGCAGAATTACAACAGATAGAATCAATTCAGGGGGAAAAAAAAAAAAAAAAAGAAAAAAACAACAAATGTTTGTGCCATTTAGCATATAATTATAAGAAGAATCATAAAGAAATTAAATCTCTAAAAGCATCACATCTCTGAAAAAGAAATATTTTCATCGCAGCGAAAATATTAAGCTTTCAAATAATTAAAATAATCTCAAGAACTGTGCAGCGACCGTACCTGGGAAGCATCTTTGTCCCCCGAGCAGTTCCACTTTTCAAAATCCCTATAAACTCCTGTTGTGCCCGGCTGCCAGCTCAGGTTAATAATAGCAATGAGCCATATTCATCCAAAACCACAAGACTGTCAGGTGACATATCAAGAGGTTCGAATTTAACTCGAACAAAAGCCTCTCCATGCTGCAACGCAAAAGGCTTAATCCCAGCACCAGGATCACAAAAACCACCTTAAAGCGAGCAGTTTGCTGAAGCGCAGGGCAGACGTTTGCACCAGGCTGCGTTCGCGCTGCCCTGGGGTTTCATAACCCAAATCCTGCCCCTCCATTCCGTGGCACAGCTCGGGATTTCTGCTCCAGTGGATATCGCCCGGCTTCCCCGCTCCTTTGTCTCTTCCAGGGCATTGCTGCAGAGGAGATCAATCTCATTTCATCGGGAAGCTACGCGCTGCTTTGGCAGCCGCCGGAGCGTACATGTCAGTCCCATCTATCCTCCTCCTCCTCCTCCTCTAGCCAACGCGATCGGAGTTGAGTCTCATGACCCAAGTCCCTTGG